AGAATGAAAATATTAAAACCATCTTTAACCAGTTTTACTGATATACTGATTATTTTACCTAGTTATCTATAATATACTTTGAAGTGTATACATATCTATGACTTACTTGACTAACTCCTTCCAATCAGTCATGACTAACAAAAAAAAACAATTAATTCGATATGAGTGTGCATGTTTAATGTTTGTATTCTATCAATTAGTTCATCGAATCTAAATTTTGTTATTGATATTTTTAGCAAAGTGTATCATAGTTTAGTTGAGATAGCTCTCAATAACGGAAGCAGTAGTGATGCTAACAGTAAAGAAGAAGCATGGAAGATATATGAAGAAATACTGGATTTTATGGAAGGAAAAATAAAGGTATACAATAATAGCTACTTTCTCATGCTATGTACAATCATCGTGAAGAATATTTGAACAGCGAAAAAAAAATTAAAGAACAGTGGGCACGCCTTTCTTTGATTAACCAAATTTGTTKGTCCAAAGAGTTGTGGCCTATACATCTGGAGGCCAAAAAGGAGAAAATTAAGGGATAAGTGCAGCCTGAATTCATCTCCAGATTTCACCGAGCTACATTTATTCTTTTTCAGACAATGCAAATTTCAAAATTTNTTGTAATAGCACATATTTTCTTAAGGTCGACTCCTTGTTGGTACAATCTTGTGATAGTTGATGCACGAATGCAGTGGTTTGTGTACTTCTCAGACAGTTCTGCCTTGACAGAAATTCTTTCCATCATCTTAGTTATCGTGTTTTTTCCAATGGGCTCATTTTTGTACCAGTAGTTGCTATTGCTCTTTGTTACTTGTCTGTTTGCAGTTTGAAAAAGCGCCTCACAATCTGGGTGAGTGTTGCTTATGTAGAATTCAAAAGCTTTAACCGGGTCAAGTACGTTTGAAGTTTCATACATGCGAACGTCAGAGTAGAGCTGGTCGGATTGTCTTGAACCTCCTTGGTGATTTTTGGTTTGTTCCGTTAGTTTTTCATTAACATAACGAGCTCCCACATCATCTGCTTTAATCTCAAAAGAGTGTTTATTCAACTCTCGCCAGCCTTTTCTTCCGCGGCGACCAAAATGATAGCACAACGAGAACCACACATACTCAATCAGCTTCTCTCTGTTTTCCCAAACGCCGTTCTTGTTTTGACCTTCCATAAAGTAATTGTTCAACTTTTCCATGTCTCCAGAATCGATAGATTGTTTAGAGTCAGTACAAAACATGGACCGGGGGTCCATGGACCGCCATCGTGGACCTATCCATGGACTGGTCCATGGACCAATTTTCGTGGACCACCCTAAAATATAGATATAAATTTTTTCATGTTTGTTATTTTAAAGCACTTGTACCAGTTTATAGAGTGCATAAAGTCAGTTGAACTGTGAAATATCAAAAAACATTTGTTATTGTCATATAAMAATCAAATAGAGTGCTTGAAAGCAAAGCTAATAGAAATAGGAGCTACTAAATTGTATTTGGTGTACAACTGCTATTTTACATKTCYAMTGACATGTTRATATTGTTAAAGATTGGATGTTTTACTGAGTCTAGCACCATCAGTATATGACTAGGCTTTTCTGAATCGATAACACACTTTTCTGTTGCCATGTTGATATTGAGAACTATTCTGCATATGACTTGGCTTTGTTGATATTAGAACCATATGCAATTGCAGTAAAGGGAAAATCATCGTTGCAAAAGTTTCCAGTTACTCTCCCTGAATCCCTTCAACAGGACAGTAAAGTACTCAGTTCCAATGACTATTGGTTACACATGGCTCGTACAGTCTTGAAAGGTCCTTGATCTATGATTATTACAAAACTCCAAAAGTCCTTGATTACTAATTTTCCTTGAAAGGTCCTTGAATTTGGAAGAAACGTCCTTGAAAATGACAATTTAGTCCTTGAATCAGTCTTGGTTGTTGTAAAGTAATGTTTTAGGGATCAATTTAGACAAGCTTTGGAACAAAATGACAAGAATTCAATCGTTTTGGGATGCTTGTTTTTAGTTTTGTCGAATATGGTGGATCCTACCTTGTTTTTGTGCACATGTTAACATGCGAAAAATGAGTATTACACTTTAGGTAGCGAAGTTCTTGAAAATTGAATGTTAATCCTTAAAAAGTCCTTGAAAAATCCTTGGATTCTTTATGAAAAAATCTGTATCCATGTTACTGGTATTATACACAGGAAGCCCAATTGAGAGACTGGGCACTAGTATTGACAAAATAGCGGCTTGTGAAATTGTAAACACGAGTTTCTTCGTACAAGCATCAAAGTACAAGCTCATGGCAAGTGCTTTAAAATAAAAAA